TATTCTATCTCTTTCTGTTTGTTTCTGAAGTGTTTCTTCTCTAATATTCTCTGCATTTCCTCATTTGGGTCTTTAAACTTAGAATTTATATACTCATTTATAGCATTGTACTTCAAAACTCTTCTTTGGTACTTCTTTATCCAATCTAACAACTCAGTATCCTTTATAAATACTAACTTAGACTTCTTTATAATATCTTTGAACGAATGACGGTTTGGTCAAATTGACCAGAAGTACTACAAATAACAACTAACTCATAGAATGGTTCTTCTCATCTAGTTCTTGTTGTTGTGCAGCCATTTTAAGATAAGTGAAAGTCTTACCCGACCCAGGTGGTGCAATTAGACCTGTTATACCATTCTGAGCAAATAAGAACTTGTCATGTATAGGCTTTATCTGAGCATTTTCTAACTTCCTCTTGTTCTTGTTTAAAACATTCTCAAATTTTTGTCAATGTCAGCAAACTTTTTTTCTAACATATTTTTAGAAAATTAAAATTTTTATCTTTTAGAAAATGTCTAGTGATTTCGCTATCTATATTCGAGACAAGCTTTTCGACAGCAAAACATCTGTCGACCATAAAATCTTACATAGTGTAAACAAGAAAGGTGAATTTGTTCTAAAGTTTCTGTTTCTGGGAATATGACAAGAACCATAAAACATTAAGCAGAGCAGTCTTAAAATTTGTCAATGACAGACTTGTTGACAGAGATGAACCGATTGGAAAGATGAAGTCCAACAAAAGTTCTTAGAATGCAAAGAAGACACATGCGCTGTTCTTGAAGATGAAATAGAAAACAGAATAGATGAGCTATTAAAGGACAAAGAACTTTTACATAAATATAGTTGCGCCAAATTTGACATAACTCCACCAGAAAAGAAGAAAAGAAAAGAAAGAAAAGAAAGTAGAAGAAGAGAAGAAAGAACCTGAACCAGTTCCAGAGAAAAAGAAATTTGACATGTAAAAATAAAATTTTATTTTTAGAACATTTCTGGGTCAATGTCAATGTTCTCTTCCTCTTTAGGGGCAAACACTGGCTTAGACTCTAAAATCTTTTTACCCAATTTACCTTGAACTTCAACTATCTTAGACTCATAATATTCATAGTCGTCTGCTTTCTTTGGTTCATAAGGTATAACAAGTTTGTATGCTTTGCCTTCTTTAAGGTTTGAGAACCTTCTGCAAAACTTTCTTTGACTGCTAACAAACCTTCTATGTCTAAGTCTTCAAATTTCGCACCATTTTTAGTCACAATAGCAAACTTAACTGGTTCGATGTTCCAAACTTTGCTGAATGAAGACTTTTCAAAATGGTAGAAGTAAACATTCAAATATGTGAATGGGTCTAGTTCTTCTTTAAGTCCTGACATGTACTTGTTTACTGAGATGAATTTTGTCATCTTTTCTATCGGATAAAAAAATATTTTTTTTTAAAATTTACTCAGAAAAAAATTTTCTTTGTATATACACCATTCTGAACATCTAAAAGACTTTTGACATTTGCCAAGAATGTTCGTTTAGAAGCTGCCATATAACCATATTCTTGACAATATTGTTTATATTCATCATATAAAGACCTTTCATCTAATGACACAAAGTCAGTTTCATCTATGAACAGTTCATATACACTCTTGTTTGCTTCTAACAATGTTTGTCTCTCTTCGGTATGTGGAATTTGTCTTGGATTGAACTTAGAAATATCTAATGTCATGAAATATGAGAACAAGTGGTTGTAAAAGTCAGATGTCAAAGTTTCTGCTAAGTCGTCAAAATATTCTGTATCTTGCATATGAGAATCTGACGTTCTGACAACTACATATCTTCTGTCAGAACTTTCTAACTTCATCGGAACAGCATTGTTTGAAACCATAATGAAGTTTGCAACATTTTCACAAACTCTTTGGTCTTTATACTTTCTTTCAACAACTCCAACTTTGTCTGTTATAAGACTCTTCAAAGCATCTGAGTTCAAAACTTTTGTTGTATCTATACTTTGAAGTTCATTGCAAACTATAAGTTTCATATTCTCTATTGAGGAGTTAAACTTGCCACAGATGTTTTCTAAGTTTGTCATATTAGGGTTCGAATAACCTTCTAACAGTTTGCATAAGATATCTGTAAAGAAAGTATTCTTACCTGTTCCTTGTTTTCCAATTATAATGAGAGCAGTTTCATTTTTAGCACTTGGATGTTGTAAGATGTTTGCAAACCAACATAAGATATACTCATAAACCTTTTCGTTTCCATTGCATATTTCTTTGACATGGTCTAACCAAGCTTCTATAATACTGTGTTTCCATTCTACTTGTTCGTATTTATATCCAGTGAAGATAGAATAAAAGTTTGGAGAAGGTGTATAGAACTTTATACCTCGAACTGAAAAATCTTCAAGTTTTGACAATAAGATATCCCAAGCATCTAACATCTTCATGCCAACTTGTACGACTTTTATTTTTCTTAAGTTTCTGTCTACATTCTTGTTCTGAAACTATTGTTGCTCTTGGTTTGTTAAAGACAACATCCCATTCTTTCATGACATAACATTCTGGGGCAGAGTCAACATAAATGACTAAACGTTTCAAATTCTCGACTGCTTTGTTATAGTCTCTAAATGGACACATATTTCTGAATGCTTGGAAGTCATAAAAATCTGAAACATCTATCTTACATTTTTATAAAAATAAAAAAAATATTTTTTTTTATTCTTGACTTTGTTGTTCCATTTGTTGCATTTGTTGTTCTTGAGCTATTTGTTGTTGAAGTTGTTCTTGTAATACAATACTTTCACCAGTTGCATCTTCCAATTCGAAACTTTCTGCCGTCATTGACAAATACATAGGACATAAAAGTTTTACAGGAACAAAGTTTGCGTCAACTAATGTCAACGTTATACTTGCCAAAGTGTTTGAGTTCACTAAGGTTGAAAATTCTGCATTCGAATGAACAATAGGCAAACCAGCAGAGAAAGTATTGTTTATACGCATAAGTATATTTTGGTCATAATAGTTTCTGTCAACATTCGAATAACACTTTGAACCTAAGTTTGAAACAATATATAAGATTGGTGTGCTTAATGTCAATGGAATAGACATTCCTTGTATGACACCTTTTCCTGTTATAGGAAACTGTTGGTAGTAAAAACCAGAAATAAGTTTTGTATTATAGCTCATATCGTTTATAGTAAACTCAGTCGGACATCCAAACATAATGAAACCTGCTCTAGTTGCAGCACATGTTACACCCGTCCTTAAAGTATTAAATAAGTCAACAAAACCTGTTGGTGGTATATCTGAGTAAGTATCTTCAAAGGAGTATTTTTTACCATTCACAACAATAAAGTCTTCTGGTGTCAAAAGAGCAAAACAGGCTTTAGTCGTCATTGTGTTTAAGGTTAGTTTACAATATCGTCCTTGAGGACTTTGTAAGTTTGTTGTTATAGAATTATATGACTCAGGGTTTTTAGTCGTAATAGTATAAACCATTATGTCTTCTGCCATTTACTTAGCAAATAAATTTTAATGAAATGTTGTGGTCGTCAAATATTTTTATAACGTCTGGGAAACTATATTTTAATTCAACGTTTCACCTCCTTTCATAACGTATATCTTGTCAATGGCATTATATGAAACACCACAAGCAACTAATGTCGGGTTCTATTTCTTTGATGTTTATATCGTCTGCCTCTGTCAAAAGTTTCAATAGTTCTTTCAAAATTTCATGAGGTGCAATGACATATGAGTTCACTTTTACAGGGTTGTGTTCGACCAAGTTTAACATTATACTTAAAGCTTGACAAATCTTCTCCTGAGTTTGAAGTTTGTCTTTCAGTTGTTGGTAGTCGTTTCGAATATCTGCAACAGAACTTAAGTCTCTGTTAACTTCAGGATATTTTGGTTCTTTTACAGGAACTATTGTTATACCATCTTCGTCTTCGTATGGTTTCCCCATTTCAACATCTCTGTCTTTGACATTGACAATAACACTTTGACTGTTTGTTTGAGTTGGTGAATTTAACTTCACATCTGCCACCGCCATTAAACCTTTTGAAACACTTACGCTTCTATTTTTCGGAAATGACATTTTACTTCGAATAAAAATATGGACGCATTTGAGTATCTCTTCGAATTGAAGCAGAACAAAGTTTACACACACAAACAATACAAATACATTGACAGAATAGTTCTTTACACAAACAATGGAAAATGTTATAGAATAGCAATATTTGCTGAACCTAAATATTTTCATAAAGCAAAGAAAGTTGGTATAACCGAGATGGTGAAAGTTCTTGAAGCAGACAAAAATATAACTTCAAAACTGACCGATATTACTAAAGGAAAGTTTATAATACAATATTATGTCAAAACTGGCGTACTGTCAATATTTGACGGAGAGAAGTCAGTTCAAGAACAACTTACTGACCTGCTGCCAAAATCTGCTCGATGGAAGCTGTCGTTATGCCAATCTGAGGAGCCCCAGCAGGTTTCATCGAACGAATCTTCAAAAGAGCATCTTCCGTGAAAAGTGCTATTGGTTTTGTAAACTTCTTTGCTTTCAATTCATCTGGACCGTCTCTGTCACCAGTATATTGTATTTGAACTGTACCAACAGTTGAAATACCACCCATAAAGTCTTCTGAGTCAGCAAATGGAATGCCAAGCCAAAAGTTTGAACGGTCTCCATTTGTATATTGAGTTTTTTGACCTCCTGTATGAGTCCATACTTTCACATATGGCATAATAGAACTTTGCATTTCAGGGTTAATAGTTGTTGTGAAGTTGTTGTTAAAGTTCATAGCATCTAATGTCAAGTTGTATGACCTCATATCCTCAACTGTAGAATATTCTTCTCTTGGATAATATTTGCCATCTATGTTTATATGATATTTAATACCAGGGTTGTAGAAACAAGAATAGTCATTTATAGTTCGTCTGAACAGTACAAACATAGTATCTGCATGTTTCATTGCAGTTGTTAAAGCAATATCTGTTCTTGCACCTGGGTCAGCACTTTGGTTTCCAACTTCACCTGCAAAGTCTTTGACAGATATTTGGTGTATAGGGAACATAAGTGGAACTGCAATATATTTGGCAGCTAAAGCATTTGAAATATCTGGGTCCAACATATAGACTGCAAGTCTGCTTTCTATTCTCTTGCATTCAAATTTTTCGCATGTGAACTTAACTGGGTCCCAAGCAGTTCCAGCAGCATTGAAATAATAGTTTACTTCAGTGTTGAGGTTTGAGAAACCAAAGTCTAAGTCAACTTTGTCTTTGCAAAAGTCGGCGAATGACGTTTTATTTGTTCCCGTTACGTCTGTAATAGTGAATGGGTCTTGCGTTGGTGCAATGACTAAGTTATTTTTGCTTGGAGTAAGTTCGATAGAAATTTTTCCTGCCCAGTTTGGCAAGTATCTTAAAAACCTGAAGATGAGGAAAGATGACAAAGGAACTCTAAGTTTCAGTTTTACTTTAGTGGCAGCAGTTCCATCTGAACCAGAAAGGTTAACATAAACTCCTGGAACGTTAGGGTCAAGTCTTCTTATTTTCTCAATAGTTGCATACTGGTCTGTTTGTTCTCTAGCTTGTGGTTGTACTGAGTTTCTCAAAGCGAACCATTCATAGTTTGCCCATGTTACTGTTTGAACTAAGTCAGAGTTAGAATATATCTTATATCCCATGAAAACTTCTGGAGCATATTGGTATCCGACATAGAAAATTCCATTGCAACCTTTCTTGTCAGACAACTTGGCAGAAGGTTTTATTTCAATGTCTTGTTCCACGTATAAGAATGAGTTGTCAATAGAAATAATATGAAACCTGTCGCAAGCAATATCTACTGTTGTTGAAGAACCTTCACCAAACTCACCTACGTTTCCATAAGAAACAGCAGTTGTATATTCGTAAGTTCCAGGAACTATTTCTGACCTTCTAATGGCATTGTCGCATTCGTTATACCATTCGGAAACATTTCCGTTCATGGCATCCAAAACTGTTGGCGTTATATTCTGAGCGGCGTACATTTCATATGGGTAAAAATATAGAATAGTTGGATTTATATGTCATAATTGTTTCGTACCAAGCTTTACTTTCTTCCTGACTGAGTTTTTAACTCTTCTTTTTCCTTCATTGCCACTACTTTCACTAGATGAAGTTACTTCTTCACTACTTTCACTTTGTTTTACTCTTCTCTTCTTCTTTGGTGTCGCTTTTGGTAACTTGCCCTCTGCTTCAAGTTGTTGCATCTTTGCCTCATGTTCACCTAGTATGTTGTTAATTTCCCATGTCCTTTTTGCCTTTGGGCTCTGGTCGCCCATCTCAGGTAACCTATATCCTAGAAAGATTTCGTCATAGTTTGTATTTGAGTCGTCGCTTATTGTTTGCATGACTCTTTCCTGAGTTTCCGGTTCAAGCTCTTCAAACAGAGCTTGTCCATATGGAATAAGCTCGTTTCCAAATATATGTTTTTGTAGCCATTCTGGTTTTCTTTCCATGTTACCAATAATATCTTTTGTGAATGGGAAAGCTTTTACCCACTGTTTCAGTCTTGCGTCATTTATTTCTGTAGTTGGTTTTATTTTGTCAAGGAACATGTTTTTCAATACTAACATTTCATTTGGTACTGTCCATTTGAGTTTTCTTAAATATTCATCCATTCTCGGTTCATTGTCTGCAAAGTAAGTTTTTATGACATTTTGCAAACTTTCGTTTGCAAGGTCATGTACAATAGGTTCTTTCCTTCTCTCTCCCTAACTTTCTTTCTAAACTCTTCACCAAATAGACCATCTCTATGGTTCTGTGTAGTTCTTTGAGATAAATGTTCTAGAACGTCAGGTGTTATATTTCCATCAGCCATGTTCATTTCATACTGGTCCAAAATATCTGCATGTTTCATATCTTTCAATGGCATTAAAGCCGCGCTGAAAATACCAGCTATATCTGGTTCACCATTCACTTCCATTGCGTCTACAACTTCTTGGAATTGTGGTTGTAAGTTTATGAACCACCTATCCGGATTAGCTTTATGACCCCATCGCATTGTAGTTCCATAGTCTGCAGAAACAAAAGTAGGTTTGTTTCCATATTGGTTAGGTTCTGAATGAACTTTAAACAATGTTTCATTTCTATATGTTTTGTTGAAATTTAACCTTTTATTTTCACCAAGTTCAGCCAAAGATTGAACGTTATATGGTCGTAAGTAAAAAGGGTTATTGTATTTGTGTACATTATCTTTCAGTACTTCCATTCTATGCTGAATATTTTCATCTGATGTTGGAGTCTTTTGTATGTCGGCGAACATTTTTCGATATTCTTCTACTATGTCAGCCGAATTTTTCTTAGACTCTTGGAAAGATTCCATATTCTCCGCATACTCTTGTTGAGGGTCAAGATTTTTCGGCTGTTCCAAATCTTCATCTAGTTCTGTGAAGTTAGTTTCCAAAGGAGGGACTTGTTCGTTTCCTTCAGGCTCTTCTAGCTGTTGTTGCTGAACTATTTCTTCCATGTCTGGTTGTATCTGAACTTCTTCCTGTGGAGTTTCTTGTACCTCATCTGGTGGCATTTCATATATTCCGAGACCGTTTTTAACAAGTTCCCTATCTAAGTCATCCGGACTCATAAACCTTTCTTTTTTCGTTCCGTCTCTATTTTTTACGCGTTTCATGAAGAGAGTTGAATTATCATTTAGCTCTGACATAAAATATCTCGGAGTAAATTCATCCATGTCATTTGGCTGATATGCTATTAAATCATATCCCTTAGCGAGCTTGTATTTTCCAGGTTTGAAATTATATCCCATTTGGTGCTGAGCCATAAAGCTAAATAGGTTCGGGTCAGTATTTCCTTCCTTGAACTTTCTAATAGCTTCTTTATATCTGTCACTAAAGTCAAGAGTATCTGGGTAACCATATTCTTCCTTAAGCATTTTTAAGAATTCTTGGTTTCCTTGTTCTCTACTTCTTTTATGTCCTTGCTCTGTTTGTGCTGGTTGTTGTGCTGGTTGTGGAGGTGGTTGTTGTGCTGGATTTTGAATTGTTGGTTGTTGTGCTGGATTTTGAATTGTTGGTTGTTGTTGTTGTGGTGCATGCCTGTGTCTGTGTCCATGTGACGATGTAAATGTTTTAGGTAGTCCTGGTGCAAGTGCTTCTCTTGGAGGGTTTGGTGGTATATAAGTTCCACCAGCTGGCACATATGTTCCATCTGCAGCATAATGTCCTACCTGACTTTTCGTTCTTAAGAAAGCATTTACTAGGTCTGTTTTGGTCTGTTGTAACTCTTTTTCTTGACTTTCCACAACAGTTGCTCTAACGGCGTCATAGGCACTTTGAACTGCCTGTCTCGTTGCTGCATCTGTTATTTTCGTCATATTTTGTGCTACTTCTCTTAACTCTTTGTCGAAACCTTCAGACTTCAGTTTCTTTCCAGATGAGAAGTCGTTCACTAGTTTCACCCTACTATGAAGAGCTTCGAAGGCATTCTTAAAGTCGGCATTCATTAAAGCTTCATTTGAACTGTCTTCATCCGCTTGTATTTTTGTCCTTATTGACCCTATAAGTTGGGCTGCTTTAGCGTTGGCTTGGGCATCTAACCAGTCATTATTAGCTTTTATATATTCTGCGCTTTTCATTGCCTTTTGCATGGCTGCGTCGTTATTTTTACTTTCTTGTGCTAAGTTTTCATACTGTACGGTTTGGTTTTGCAACTGTAAAAGTTTTTCTGCCTTTACATTTGCTTCAACTTCTTTTTTATACTCATCGCTATCCATATATGTCTTCAGGCTTTTTGTTTATCTCTTCATCTTTCAGTACTTTATATTGAGTAGTATGGTTTTTCAAATTTATAACATCTTGTTCCATTTTTGCTACTTCTGCTGCTTTTTCTGACACTTTTTTCGCATATTCCTCTGTACTTAGTTCTTTCAGTTGTTCTTCTTTCTTCTTTTTCTCTACGTTTAACTCATTGAGTTTCTTTGTGTGTCTGTCATATTCTAGTTTCTTTTCGTTTTCACTTATTTGTTTCTGTATGTCTATGTTTGACTTTTTGACATCTGTTATTTGATTTTTGAGTGAACTCAAATTCATTTGACTTTGAGGGTTATAAGCTGTTCCGTCTGCAGCTCCACCATAGCCTGCCATTTTCGCTAAAAGTGCCGCTCTTAAACCTCCACTCTGGGCACCAATAACTCGGTTTAAAAGCATAGGGTTGCTTGACATTTGTTGCAACATAGTGGGGTCATTCATCATTTGTTGTTGCAACTGTTGTTGTGGTGTCAGTTTTACTATTGGATGTTTCAATGCTCCCTTCCTCTTACGTATATTCTTACGTAGCTTACGTGGCATTTTAAGTGAAGTAAAAAACGGTTTTTGACAGATGTTTATATGACACTTTTTGTTCAGCACAAAAAACTACTCGGTCAAAGTGTTGTCAGTTTTGTAAAATAACCGTCCTATCTCATTCTATAATGGGGAAAAGGCTTCTCAAAGTATACTTCCTTGGAACGCCTGTAACTTTTCCTGTAGCGACGATAGACCTTTACTTGTCCGGACAAAGTTATACTATTTTGAGTGCTCTACAAAAAAGTCAACGGCGACGACTCTCAAAAACCGTTGTGTAAAAAGTTTTACCGTTGGACAAAAAAGTATATATAGAAAACAAAAAACGTTTATAGTTCATTCAATATTTGAGATGGAACGGTTTTCCAACGGTAACTATTAAATAAAATAAAAAAATAGAGAGGGTTACCGTTGACAAAAAAAACAGTTCATTTTTCATAATGGAAGGAAGAACAAGTGTCGCAAACAATTCTTCGACTACCTCTGCAGTTAAAGTTCCTACAACTTATGTCTCACCATTCTCAAAACCCTTACGACCTCCTATAATACCAAAGCAATTCCTCATACAATTCAAGACAAATTGTCCAACAATTCAGACTTCTTCTCAAAACACAACAGAAACAACAGATACAGTTGTCCAAACAGCACCAGAACAAGTTTCACATAGTTCTACAATTCAAGACAAATTGTCCAACAATTTGAGTTCTTCTTCTTCTCAAAACACAACAGAAACATCTGAAACAGATTTACAACCAGCACAGAACAAGTTTCACATAGTTCTACAAGTATGTTAACAAGAGCACAATTTCAAGATTTAATTTCTCTTGAACAATATTCGAGTAACGAAACACAAACCGACGACTGTAACCTCTCGCTACCCGAATCCATTCAAAGAAAATACGCCATGAAAAGACTGAAATTGTTGTATAAACTTCTTAACAATTGGGGGGTCGAAGACAACACAGATTATAGTGAAATGTTTAACAAAGTCATAGAATCTGTTAAACCAATTGAAAACGACATAAAAAATCCCGGTGTTCTTGTAGACCTTTTCGCCTCAAAATTACCAGTTACAACCAATCTAATAGCAACACAAGCTATAGAGCAATTTATTTTATGTTTTCCCAAGCAATATAGACAACACCTGAGGGAAACAAGAATAGGAAAATTTCAATTGGTGTATCCTACAACATACAACTATTACGAAGAAGCAAATGAATATGGAGAACTCTCATTCCATTTCACACTTTCAGTTCCTGAGGGAGAAGAAAAAGCAATCTATCATGTACAATCTCTTGCAGGATGTGAAGGAAAACCCCACATAATAACTACTGTTGCAATTGACAAACCTGCAAGAGTCGAAGACGATGTTTTGTTCGCGTCCATTGCTGGTTTTGGCATGGGAGAACCAATTCCAATTTCCCATTTCACAGAATACTCAGCACAACATTTTCAAAATGTAGAATTCGTGTTCTACGACCATCAAAAGTTCCTGTTAACAAAACCAAAGAAACAATTTGTCTCAATATTTGTTGCTGGTCATGTGGCTGACAAAGAGCCATCAGATACTGACAATGAAGAAGAGGAGGAGGAAGAAGAAAACAATAGCGATGTCGTTCTTAACGAATAAAAACTTTAATTTTTTACTATATAATTTTTTTAGTTCTCCTCTAGGTTTTCTTATGGGCTAGAGGGCACGAAGTGCCTGGAAGCCCCTCATACCTGACCTTATAGGTATTGTATGAAATTCAAACTCTATATTTATTAAAATTCTAAATTTTTAATAAAATAACTTTTCAGAGGAATATGATTTTGAATGGTTGATTAATAAGTATAAAAATGTCTACGATTTTAAGGAGGGAATTGTTCCTTATGAGGTATACATTATAACTATATACCTCATAAGGAACAATTCCCTCTTGATAGCTGGGAAACTTTCTCTGAATAACTTATCATTTGGAGAAAGTTTCCAGCTATCTATTAGGAACTAAAGGCTGTGAGGCACTAATATATAATCAGGCCTCATAGCCTTTAGTTTGTTATTAAAAACGAGAAAACTTGTTCGAAATGATAAACAATTTCGAAAAGTTTTCTCGTTTTTAAGGAGGGAATTGTTCCTTATGAGGTATACATTATAACTATATACCTCATAAGGAACAATTCACTCTTGATATCCTGGATATTTTTGAATATATTTTTTTAATTAAAGTTCTCAAAAATATTATCAAAGTGATTTTTTAAAATATCTCCAATTAATTAACTAATTAAAAGTATTATATTTTTAAAATTAAATAGTTTTTTCAATTTTTTTGAAGGAATTGAGATACTTCCCACGACAATAAAAATTGAGAGGTTTACATTATGACTGATCTTAGCATGCAACAATATAATCTAATCTATGCAAATCTCATCTAAATTTTTTTGAAACAAACCGCTACCATTTTATAATGGTCCATCTTAAATTCATCATAAATTCTGGTACATGTTAGTACCAGAGTCTTCAAATCTCAAACACTCTGGTACCAACATGTACCAGACGCGAGTTTCCAATGCCCTCGTACGATTTTCTATTAAGATCTTCTTGAATGAGAAGGTCTTCATAGAAACTCGTACGAGGGTTTCTCTTTAAATACTCTGGTACCTGCTGGTATCGGAGTCGACTTTACACCTTTCCCCAATTTTGAAGCTGGGAAAGTTTTCAAGCAATGAAAGGGAAGCTCCGCTATGAGGTGAAAATCTAGAATTTTTACCTCATAGCGAGTAATCCTTTGTTAATTGCTTGAAAACTTTCTTCAAATTATCAAAATTTCGAGGAAAGTTTCCTTGCTTCAAAGTAGAGATGGAGCCCTTTGAGCCACTGCATATAGGTCAGTGACTCAAAATACTCCATCTCTACTAGAAATCGCCAAAATTTGGGTCGCAATCTTTGAAATGCGACGCAAGTTTGGGCAATTTCGCGAGGGACTTGCTCCATTTGGTGCATAGATTCACACTCTATGCACCAGATGGAACAATTCTTTCGCTGACAGCGGGAAACTTTGTCTGAATAGTTTAACATTCAGACAAAGTTTCCCGCTGTCAGAGAGGGAATGGAAGGGTAAGAGGTATATATTCATAATGTATACCTCTTACTCTTCCATTCCCTCAAGAAAGTTCAAAAAACTTGGGTGCAATCAACTGATTGCACCCAAGTTTTTGAATTTTATATAAGGAATTGTTGGCTATGATGTACTGATTCATGATCAGTACATCATAGCCAACAATTCCTTCGCAAACAGTGGGAAACTTTGTCTGAATAGTTTAACATTCAGACAAAGTTTCCCGCTGTCAGGGAGGGAATTAGAGGGTGGGAGATATATAGATAGACTATAAATCTCTCACCCTTTAATTCCCTCAAGAAAGTTCAAAAACTTGGGTGCAATCAGTTCTGATTGCACCCAAGTTTTTGAATTTTATATAAGGAATTGTGGCTATGATGTACTGATCATGAATCAGTACATCATAGCCAACAATTCCTTCGCAAACAGTGGGAAACTTTGTCTGAATAGTTTAACATTCAGACAAGTTTCCCGCTGTCAGGGAGGGAATTAGAGGGTGGGAGATATATAGATAGACTATAAATCTCTCACCTTTAATTCCCTCAAGAAAGTTCAAAAACTTGGGTGCAATCAGTTCTGATTGCACCCAAGTTTTTGAATTTTGTATAAGGAATTGTTGGCTATGATGTGGATAGCCGCTGCCAGACCAAATGAATTAACCGTTGTGAATAACGTTTCTGAATCTTTATTTAAAAAGATAAAATATCACGATTTTGGCTGCGTTAAAAATCAAAGAATTGATGTTTTTGTCAAAATCTTTTAGAAGAAGTTGCACCCAATTACTTTTATCGTATTAAAAACAATTTACTTCAAACAGGTTTTATTCCTTCAATTAGAATTCGCGAGCCTCGATTGACAGATTATAAAACAAAATTGAAAAGAGAAGTTCAATCATGTTATACCAAGTATTTAAATTTTGTTCAGAATCAAGAAGCCAATTTGAATCCATTAAGATTTTTATTGGAAAATGCTGAAGAAAAACTTTCTCAAATAAATGAGAAGATACAAAATTCAATTACATATTTAAGATCGTTTGAAATTCCAAATGAATTGTTAGATACGTATATGTTAGAAATTAATGAATTTTGTTATAATTCTCCAGATTATATTTTAGAACATTTCGAAGAATTTTTAGAGGATTTCAAAGAAAAGAATAATTTAATAGACTAAAAAATTTATTATTTTTATTTATTGTGAATTTTAAATTGTCACTTTTTAAGTGTTACTCCCTATTGAAAGTGTCACTTTTTCGTAAATTCTTATATACTCTTATGTATCAGTGCCTGGTGTTGCATGCTAAGTTCGGTCAACGATAGAAATTGAGTGGAAATTAATCGTCGAGGAAGTACGATTATGTAAAGTAAAAAAATGTTGTGGGATTTTTAATATTATATATTATTTTATAATAAAATTTTTTGAGTCATTTTAAGAAGCACATATAATTTTTTGAATTTAAAAATTAAAGTAGTGTCAAACGAATTTATCACTTAATTTAATACTCAGATTTCTTAAAATTAATGAAAAAAAGGTTTTCTGAGAACTTTTGAGAATGGTTTTCAAATTCCATTATTGAAAATATATAGGTATTGTATGAAATTCAAACTCTATATTTATTAAAATTCTAAATTTTTAATAAAATAACTTTTCAGAGGAATATGATTTTGAATGGTTGATTAATAAGTATAAAAATGTCTACGATTTTAAGGAGGGAATTGTTCCTTATGAGGTATACATTATAACTATATACCTCATAAGGAACAATTCCTCTTGATAGCTGGGAAACTTTCTCTGAATAACTTATCATTTGGAGAAAGTTTCCCAGCTATCTATTAGGAACTAAAGGCTGTGAGGCACTAATATATAATCAGTGCCTCATAGCCTTTAGTTTGTTATTAAAAACGAGAAAACTTGTTCGAAATGATAAACAATTTCGAACAAGTTTTCTCGTTTTAAGGAGGGAATTGTTCCTTATGAGGTATACATTATAACTATATACTCATAAGGAACAATTCACTCTTGATATCCTGGATATTTTTGAATATTTTTTTTAATTAAAGTTCTCAAAAGTATTATCAAAAGTGATTTTTTAAAAATATCTCCAATTAATTAACTAATTAAAAGTATTATATTTTTAAAATTAAATAGTTTTTCAATTTTTTTGAAGGAATTGAGATACTTCCCACGACAATAAAATTGAGAGGTTTACATTATGACTGATCTTAGCATGCAACACTGGTAGGCTCCTATTCACTTTCTAAATGGGAGAAACTTTGTTCGTATGTTATTTTATGAAAGCAAAGTTTCTCCCATTTAGAGTTGGAATTGAAGGGTGCGAGGTATATAGGCATACTATATACCTCTCACCCTTCAATTCCTATGAAAACAGTTCTAAAATAAAAATAAAAAACAAACTTAAATTAACTATTAAATTTTTTATATTTTAATTTCATATTTTTAATAAAATTCCTTATATATTATAATTATTATATTAAAAATGTAATAAACAGAAATTCATCAAAAGTGACAGCTCTCAATTTTTTGACATTTGTAAATTCTAAATTGAATGAGAAAAATGAAATAATACTAAGCATAATACAATATTCTAGATTTAATTATAATTAGGAAAAAGTTAGTTTTGAGAGTACTTTTCATAGGCATATAGAATGAAGTCTTCTGAAAAATAATATACATAAACTCATATTATTTTCTAATATATAACTATTTTATATAAAATCAAATTCAATGATCTTAAAAGCGAAGGATAAACCTCAAAATTTACGAATATAATGAGTGGGAATATAATGCTTATCTATCATAAACCATATGAAATATCAATTTTTGCTTTACGCCTAATTTTTGACGACAATTAGCAAAAAATGTTAAATGTTAACACTCAGTCCATTTGAATATGAAAAATAAAATTGACTTTGATTAAATGTTTTTATTTATCATGCAATTCTTCTTGCGACCAAAGATTTGAATAAAAGTTAAAAAATAAGATAGCTTAAAAAATAATATACGGTAGTGTTTACTAATAGATGAATAGTATATAAATTCTATTAAAATGGATTTGATCCAAAAAATATAAAACCAAAAATAATTGTTATAATTTAAATGAAGAAGTAATTTAAAACGATTTTATTTATGATCAAATTTTATATATTTTTTTGGATCAAATCCATTTTAATAGAATTTATATACTATTCATCTATTAGTAAACACTACCGTATATTATTTTTTTAAGCTATCTTATTTTTGAACTTTTATTCAAATCTTTGGTCGCAAGAAGAATTGCATGATAAATAAAAACATTTAATCAAAGTCAATTTTATTTTTCATATTCAAAATGGACTGAGTGTTAACATTTAACATTTTTTGCTAATTGTCGTCAAAAATTAGGCGTAAAGCAAAAATTGATATTTCATATGGTTTTATGATAGATAAGCATTATATTCCCACTCATTATATTCGTAAATTTTGAGGTTTATCCTTCGCTTTTAAGATCATTGAATTTGATTTTTATATAAAATAGTTATATATTAGAAAATAATATGAGTTTATGTGATATTATTTTTCAGAAGATTTTGTGTTCTTCTTCAAAATTTTATTTTTTATTAAAAAGAATCTTTACAAAATATACATTTACTTTAATTAATATTTAAAAACGTGCTCTATCAAAAGTTCCAAAAATTCAATATTTTAGCTTTTCTGAGGTGTCACTTTTGATGAATTTCTGTTTACAACAAAAACCCTTTCGAATTTTGGCGCGAAAAATAAGAGTAAGTGTCACTTTTTGTCACTTTTTCTAGTGACCCTTTTCGGTACGGAACACGTAATCCGACGGAGGATCAACTGAACTCTCATCCTCAGTTGAATTGAGGTCGTATTCATCAATGAAGTCCAAGTCATCATCACTGAATCCGTCAAGATCTGCTTCAGGATGCCACTCTTCATCATCATCGGAGTCGATTTCTCCTTCTTGCCTGCGATATCTTCTTTCAGGAATTTCACTAAAGTCTCGGAGCATATCCAGATTCTCACCTTGTGGTAATGCTTGCTCGGCTTTGTGTATGTATTCTTCCCTGACTTGTTCGATCTTCTCAAGAAATTCGGCAGCTTGCTCATCAGTAACTTTGCTGAGAATTCTTTCATTTTCTCTGAGATCAGCCTCATGCATATTCCATGCTTCGATAATGAGGTTTTCATCGAGACATTTCCAGCATTGGACCAAGATATACACAGCCATTTTCAGTGTGCACACTAAGGTTTGATCGATGGCATAGAAATCCCACCACATTCGAGTCGCCATGTTTTTGAGAGCGCCAAAAAACCTTCACGTCGAGTGGCTGGCAAAGATCTGTACAACCAACTGGAATGTAAACAAGATCAATGTTGAGTTCTTTTGCCAGGTCCTTCGTCTCCTTGTTCCTGTGGCTGGAGTAAGTGTCGAGGAATAAAATAATTTTGTTATTCCCCCTATAACTTTCATTGTCGCCAAACGCTTGATCATACCAGTCGCGAACCCATTCGAGGTAGATTTGAAAACCTCATGGGTAGACCATCTGATTCGGAATGAAGGATCTTTTCATTGCTGATGATCCGGTCGTCGCTCACTTGTTGATGGCACCTGTCTGTCAATCCTTTGCACACAATTGTCAAAGGAAGTTTTCTTCCATCAGCTGTGATGGTTGCAATGATTGTAACACCCTTCTTTTGGTTGTGGTTAATGTGTATATCGACTCCTTCTGATCCTTTAATAGCATAAGTAAGACCGCCTGCAATGCCGCATCCATAGAAAGATTCATCTGCATTTGCGAGCCGCCCAAAGCTCGTCTTTGAATCTTTCAAAGAGTTCCGCTTTAATTTCATTGAATTGTTGTATCCGCTCTTGCATTTCTTCTTTATCTTGAGGTCTTCTGTGCCAATGTGCCTTTCTTGTTGTCAGATTTTGCCGCTCTCTAAAGTTCACAAGATAATGAGGAGATATTTCGAAATTCTCTTTTTTCAAAACATGTTCAGGGTAAGCATCTTTAAACATTTCCACAATTACTCGGCACATTTGTGTATTGAAAAAAATTTTTTCAATAAATTCTGTGATAATGTAGTTGGCTATCAAGAGCTCTCCTTCGTCATCAATAGCTCTGTTAACAAGTAACTGTGCCGTTTTTGGGTTGAATTTTTCATCTTCCAGGTAATCATTTCTATAATTATACAAGGTAGAGCGAGATATATTTGTAATGGTGACAATTTGATCAATAAGATTTCCGTATGATTCGTCAAAACTAGCTTTTATAAGATCCATTAAAACTTCGACTTTTTTATCGCTCAGAGTTGCTGCATTGAATCTTGGGTCAGGAACTAATTTGCCGAGGAATTTTAATTTTTCTTTGATATCTGGCGGAAGATCTTCTCTTATTAGATGGTCGATGTCAGTCATTAAAAATTTGTCTTGTCACTTTTTTATTTTTTTATTCTTGTTCCGTACCGAAATGCATCACTAGAAAAGTGACAAAAATAACACTTACTCTTATTTTGCGCGGCAATTTTTCTAAGTTATTTTGTTAAGCTAAATGTGTTATATATCAAATCAGCTTTATAAATATTATAGAAAAGTTTATTTTTATTTTTAATTATTATTATTATTATTTTTTAAATTAAGAGAGAGGGTCAAAGTTGCTATTTGTCACTTTTCCACAAGAATATAATGGGGAAAAAGTTATCATATAGTTGATCTCATTCACTGAGGTGAGAGATGCATGTAGTGTAATATGTAATGGGATAAACAGTGGGATTGCTGCTCTAAGTCCTAGGTTCGAGACACACTGGCTTCATTTTTCTCTTTTTTATTGACGTAAACTATTCAATTTTTGTGTTCTCCATTCAAATTTCAGAATTTTTTTTGCAGATTTCACGCTACATTCGAAGTTACCTTTTGTAACAACCACCACTGCCTACGAAAGACGAAAGAGGTCAGGTATGAGGGGCTTCCAGGCACTTCGTGCCCTCTAGCCCTGAAGATGTTTAAAAAAGTTGGAATTGAGATAAAATTAGATGTTTAGTTTCATGGAACTTGACTGTCCATTGCATCTGCCATTTGTTGGTCGTCTTCTGATGGTGTTCTTGAATGATATTCTTCTTCTTCGGGTACAAATTCGTCATCATCAGGTGAGTCTTGTGGTTCATCTTCTTGAGTAGAGTCTTCTTCTTCAACATCAAAGTCATCTGGTGTATCGAACTGAATGTATGAAAGCCAAATGTTGTATGTGTTTTCCAATTGGCTTTCAAACTTGAGATACATTCCATGCATGAGTGTTATTTCAGTTTCAACGTAGAGTTGCTGACGTGGCTTGAAGACATGCATGAGAATTGGTCCTCCAAATTCGTCCTTGAAAAACTTGCAGTAGCAAACATAAACTGAGATAGAGTCTCCTTCTTCAATGTCTTCTGCTTGGTTAACGAAATGAATAGCAATTTTGCGTACTTGAATTGTGTTGTTGTCTGAGTAAAATAATGGTTTGAACTTGGGGTTGAGTGAGCTAAGACATTGCCATTTTGCTGTTTCTTGTCCGTACTCACGTTCTTCTTCGTCATCCTGATATCCATAACTCTTTAATTTGAATTCGACCCAAAACTGTTCGACTTTTTTTGCAGCTTTGGGTGGAAGACTTTCAATAAGCTGACATATAGTTCTGTCAACCATTATCTTTGTTATTGTTGGAAAATAGTTGACAATTGTGTCACCTAATTCGAATGGGTCAGGTGTTTCTTTTTGTAGTTTGGTAAAGTCTGCAAGAACTTTGTTGAGTTGTTCACAATATTCTTTGTTTAAAAGTTGCAGCAATCCTTTCTTCTGGCTTTGAATTGAAGTATTCTTCAGACAATCTGAGTAGTATTTTGCGTAGTTCAGCGTTGCTGTGGTTCTTTGTAATACGGAGCTCGTTTGGTATTGTTTTGGTAGTGAAAGTGGCTTTGGATTGAGCGAATTGCAGGACAAATTTGAATTTGAATTGCCTGTTCTGCTTGGAGAATGTGTAGATGCTGCAGTTTGATATTGAGGCTCTAAACCTGTGGGTGCTGAAAGTTTGCAAGCAATTTCTTCAGGTGAATTTGGAGCGAACACGCTAGCGAATGCCATTAGACAAAAAATGAACTTTTTTTTCGGACCACTCATAGAAAAGTTTGAAATAAACGGTTTTTGTCAACGGTAACCCTCTCTATTTTTTTATTTTATTTAATAGTTACCGTTGGAAAACCGTTCCATCTCAAATATTGAATGAACTATAAACGTTTTTTGTTTTCTATATATACTTTTTTGTCCAACGGTAAAACTTTTTACACAACGGTTTTTGAGAGTCGTCGCCGTTGACTTTTTTGTAGAGCACTCAAAATAGTATAACTTTGTCCGGACAAGTAAAGGTCTATCGTCGCTACAGGAAAAGTTACAGGCGTTCCAAGGAAGTATACTTTGAGAAGCCTTTTCCCCATTATAGAATGAGATAGGACGGTTATTTTACAAAACTGACAACACTTTGACCGAGTAGTTTTTTGTGCTGAACAAAAAGTGTCATATAAACATCTGTCAAAAACCGTTTTTTACTTCACTTAAAATGCACGTAAGCTACGTAAGAATATACGTAAGAGGAAGGGAGCATTGAAACATCCAATAGTAAAACTGACACCACAACAACAGTTGCAACAACAAATGATGAATGACCCCACTATGTTGCAACAAATGTCAAGCAACCCTATGCTTTTAAACCGAGTTATTGGTGCCAGAGTGGAGTTTAAGAGCGGCACTTTTAGCGAAAATGGCAGGCTATGGTGGAGCTGCAGACGGAACAGCTTATAACCCTCAAAGTCAAATGAATTTGAGTTCACTCAAAATCAAATAACAGATGTCAAAAAGTCAAACATAGACATACAGAAACAAATAAGTGAAAACGAAAAGAAACTAGAATATGACAGACACACAAAGAAACTCAATGAGTTAAACGTAGAGAAAAAGAAGAAGAAGAACAACTGAAAGAACTAAGTACAGAGGAATATGCGAAAAAAGTGTCAGAAAAAGCAGCAGAAGTAGCAAAAATGGAACAAGATGTTATAAATTTGAAAAACCATACTACTCAATATAAAGTACTGAAAGATGAAGAGATAACAAAAAGCCCTGAAGACATATATGGATAGCGATGAGTATAAAAAAGAAGTTGAAGCAAATGTAAAGGCAGAAAAACTTTTACAGTTGCAAAACCAAACCCGTACAGTATGAAAACTTAGCACAAGAAAGTAAAAATAACGACGCAGCCATGCAAAAGGCAATGAAAAGCGCAGAAATATAAAAGCTAATAATGACTGGTTAGATGCCCAAGCCAACGCTAAAGCAGCCCAACTTATAGGGTCAATAAGGACAAAATACAAGCGGATGAAGACAGTTCAAATGAAGCTTTAATGAATGCCGACTTTAAGAATGCCTTCGAAGCTCTTCATAGTAAGGTGAAACTAGTGAACGACTTCTCATCTGGAAAGAAACTGAAGTCTGAAGGTTTCGACAAAGAGTTAAGAGAAGTAGCACAAAATATGACGAAAATAACAGATGCAGCAACGAGACAGGCAGTTCAAAGTGCCTATGACGCCGTTAGAGCAACTGTTGTGGAAAGTCAAGAAAAAGAGTTACAACAGACCAAAACAGACCTAGTAAATGCTTTCTTAAAAACGAAAAGTCAGGTAGGACATTATGCTGCAGATGGAACATATGTGCCAGCTGGTGGAACTTATATACCACCAAACCCTCCAAGAGAAGCACTTGCACCAGGACTACCTAAAACATTTACATCGTCACATGGACACAGACACAGGCATGCACCACAACAACCACAACCAACAATTCAAAATCCAGCACAACAACCACAATTCAAACCAGCACAGCAACCAACAGTTCAAAATCCAGCACAACAACACCAAACAGAGCAAGGACATAAAAGAAGTAGAGAACAAGGAAACCAAGAATTCTTAAAAATGCTTAAGGAAGAATATGGTTACCCAGATACTCTTGACTTTAGTGACAGATATAAAGAAGCTATTAGAAAGTTCAAGGAAGGAAATACTGACCCGAACCTATTTAGCTTTATGGCTCAGCACCAAATGGGATATAATTTCAAACCTGGAAAATACAAGCTCGCTAAGGGATATGATTTAATAGCATATCAGCCAAATGACATGGATGAATTTACTCCGAGATATTTTATGTCAGAGCTAAATGATAATTCAACTCTCTTCATGAAACGCGTAAAAAATAGAGACGGAACGAAAAAA